ATTTGGGTTCTGCCCACAAAGCACGTGAACTTAACCGTTCTGGGATTCCTCTGTCCTTCCTCCCATGACTCAGACATTGATTTACTTTGCTCTTGGAATACCCATCTCTTGGAGTTATCTTAATATTCATGAAGATACCGCTTTTATGATCATAACGTCCCTTATCAATTAACTTCAGCTGTCATCACCATGGCCACACTCTAAACATCACTTTACAATCATAATTGGAATTCTCACACAATGTATGATCTTTCCAACACCACCAATTAGTTTATGTTCCCCCCGTGAAAACACTTCTTGAAAAATAAATGAGCAGGACCTCCCTGGTGGTGCAGTCGTTAAGAATCCGCCTGCCAATGCAGGGGTCACGGGTTTGAGCCCTGGTCCGGGAAGATCCCACATGCCGTGGAGCAGCTAAGCCCATGCGCCACAACTACTGAGCCTGCGCTCTAGAGTCCGCGAGCCACAACTACTGAGCCTGTGTGCCACAGCTACTGAAGCCCGCACGCTCTAGGGCCCGTGCTCTGCAACAAGAAAGAGAAGCCACTACAATGAGAAGCCAGCGCACCGCAACGAAGAGCAGCCCCCGCTCGCCGCAACTAGAGAAAGCCCACCTGCAGCAACGAAGACCGAACGCAGCCAAAAAACACAAAAAAACAAACAAAAAAAACACCTGGGCCCCCAGCAGTGAAAGGCCATAATCCTAACCACTGGACCGCCAGGGAATTCCTAGAAATAAACATTTAACATTTAATGTGTTAAGCCACTGAAATTCCAGGGCTTCTGTGTTCCCATAGTGATTTCACTGGAAACTCGCAGCCCCTGAGCCCCGCGCTCCTCAGGGTTCCCGGATGCGACTGAGGTTTCTCCGGGGAGGAAGTGCTGCGATGGCGAGCCCCGCGGCCGCCACCCCGGTGCCCTGTGGATGGCGCGCCCTCGCGCATGCGGCCCGCGGCCTCACGGAGCCCGTGTGTTCCCATAGTGATTTCACTGGATACGGTGGATGGCTTAAAACACCCCAGTGATGCTGCTCTTCTCATTTGGGGGGAGAAGAGTGCATCACACGTGATCGAGCACCTCCTCTCCTGGGCATATGTCCAGAGACAAATGAAAACTCTAATTCGAAAAGATACATGCACCCCAGTATTCATAGCAGCACTATTCACAATAGCCAAGGAATGGATAAAGAAGATGTGGTCCATATATACAATGGAATATTACTCGGCCATAAAAAAGAATGAAATAATGCCATTTGCAGCCACGTGGATAGACTTAGAGAATATTATGCTTAATGAGATGTCAAACACAAGTACTGCATGATATCACTTATGTGTGGAATCCAAAAACATAAACCAAATGAACGTGTGTGCAAAACAGAAGCGGACTCACATAGATAGAGAACAAACTAATAGTTCCCAGTGGGGAGAGGGAAGGGGGGAGGGGCATGATGCCGTAGGGGAATAAGAGGCACAAACTGTTATGTATTAAATAAGCTACAAGGCTATATTGTACAAGATGAGGAATGTAGCCAACATTTTATAATAAAGGGAAGCGGAGTATATTAACCTGTACAAACATTGAACCACTATGTTGTACACCTGAAACTTACATAATACTGTAAATCAGTCATGGCTCAGGAAGTGGACAATCGGCCTCAGCCTCTCTCTCCCTCCCCCTTTCCCCAACCCCTCCATTTCCTCTCTAGAACCCAGCACCACATCACCAAAAAGTTTCCATTATTAAAGAAGCTTACTTAGATGGGGAGAGCAACCTCAGAAATCCCTAACAAAACGGGCACTCTTTGTGCCCTGCTCTCAGCTCTTCCCAAACCCGACGGACAGCATGTGACACCGTGCACAGCACCCCAGGGGAGGCCGGGCAGGTGGACCCAGGGCGGCACCAGGCTTCCGACAGACGCACGGCCAACAGCAGCTGCGCCTGGAAAAGACCAGGCGGGCAGCGCGCGTCCTGCAGGGCCGGTAGGTGGCGCCATCAGATCGCGGTAAAGGGAATCCGAGCTGCGCCGGTGCCTGCGTCCCGGGAGGCAACCCCCGAATCACAGCTGGAGTCTGCGGGGCAGCCTCACCCCGCAGGCTGTGCTAGGTCCTCACACACGTGTGATGACCCCGCACAGTCATCCCGCCAGGACCCTCCCCATGCTCGAAGGAAACCCAGCCAGGGTGTCACAGCCCAGCCCCGCCCAAACCCTGGGAGGCGCGAGATGCACAAGGTCAGAGGGCGATTAAAGAATAAATACCGTAAACACACTCCCAGACATAGAACACAAACACAGGGTTACCGGAGGGGAACGGGGAGGGGGAGGGATAAATTAGGAGCCTGGGATGAACAGATACGTATTACTGTACCTAAAATAAACAACAAGGTCCTCCTGTAGAGCACGGGGAACTCTATTCAATATCCTGGGACCACCTACAGTGGAAAAGAATCTGGAAAAGAATAGCTATTTATGGAAGTATAACTGAAGCGCTTTGTGGTGCACTTGAAACTAACGCAGCATTGTAAACCAACCATACTCCGATTTAAAAAGAGGGTAAATATTAGACAATGTAGAGCATAGGAGACACTTCGCCATCATGAGTTTTCTGATGCCCCAAATGGGCACGCAAGTCTGGCTTTATACTTGGAAATTTGGAATTTGTGTTAAAGGCAGGGGAGATTTAAAAACCGCACTTCTGTTTGACCCCTATCTTACACCTTTTTAGAAACAAAGCATAATTATCTATTGACACTGAATGACCCCTACCGTTGTCCCCGCAAGGAAGGGTGGGGTTCAAAACCCATAGATGAGTTGGTCTGGCTCCCCCAGCTATCTCCTTTGAAAGGGGCACAGTCCTTCCTCCCTCAAAGGGATGGGCTTTATGTAAAATATTTCCACACACAGGAAACACCATGAAAGGGGAATCGATTAACCCATATTGTCTGTTTGTTCCCCTCTAGTCCCCCAGTCCCGTATTTTTCCCTACTAGGGCATTCCTATAGGTTATTACAAGATACTGCCCTGTGCTATACGGTAGGTCCTTGCTAGTCATCTTACATTCAGCCTGACGGTTAAGGATGTAGAGCACGTGGGCATTCCTGCCTTAAAGGATATGACTTTTTTCAAAGAACAAGAAACTTCTTGTTAAATATCCCATTGACAGAACCAGGAGGTCCTCTGGACACCTGAGTTTCCCCCGTCTCTTTGGGAGGGTGGGTGGTGTTGAGCTTGTCACAAAAGTGGGCATTTTCCTACAAGCCATCAGTGCTGTATCTTGGCAGAATTTCCCCTGATTTTCACGGACCATCAATCTTTATCAAGCACCCACTCCGTGGGAAGCAAGGACCCCCCCCACTCCCCATAAAAGGGCATAAATACAGATTGAAGTCAGCTCTTGTGATCTCCTAATTGAGGAGCGTTTCAAATGTTAATTGGAAGCCACAGACCTGCATGCAAGTTATAAAAGATTCCACACTGTCAACAGTACCCTGATGCATGAAATACAGATGGTTATACCATCCACCTGATAAACATCTTTTAAAAGGAGACTACAAACCCAACCATTCAAAAGTAAAACCCTTTCCTACGGTTCCTATAGTTGGTCACCGACCCATAGCTGCTGCAATAAAGTTTTTTTTAAAAAGTGCTAAAGTCTGAACTTGCCATGAGCACTGCCTTGGTTACTCTGTGACTACCTTTCCAATGCACTGAGTTTAATGCATCTGTCTTCTGGGACAAAGCAGTTATCCCAAGAATGTGAGGCATGTTTCCTTGTAAAGCGACCCCATTCTAAGAGGCAGATGGGCTACAGCTGCTTCCCTTTACGGGGAAGTCTTTCTCCTACAGGCACTTCGGTTCACAGACGGAAATGCGGTACATCTCAATTTTTAGTTTCAGTGTATTGGGCGCATCTACATAAAACCTTAGCTATTATCCACTGGGCTGACCCGTATGAGCTTTGAAAGGATTTGGACAAATTATAAAAAGCCATATCCCACAGATAAGAAAGCTGAGAGAGTAAAGGCAAGCAGAAACCACACGCTAAGAAGATGAAATGCCATCCCAGCCTTAGGGTGACATCTTGCTACTATGGAAACATCCCGTTTTAGTTCATTGGCTCCTGTGGGTTTTTACCATTTGCTTTGTTTTTTGGCCTCAATTAGCAAGTCTGTTTTCGCCTAAGCCAACATGTAGGCGAAAACCTATAATCACAAAAAGCTAGCAAGGAGGAAAAGGATGCTAATTTCAACACCGCTACTCTCATCCCAAGACACATGCGCCAGCCACGGAGCCAGAGAGAAAACTGAGTTACACAGATCGAGTTTTATGAGCGGGAATTCTGGGATCCAGCAACGGGACACCTGACCAGGCTTCGTGGGTGCTGAATACTGGCGACTCGACGTGGAAACCCAGGAGACGGGGTCCCCAGGTCCGTAATCCTCCACGGGAGATGGACACGGGGGGCCGTTCGGGCAAGCTTCCTATGATAAAAACACACATGTGGGCGTTCCAAGTGATGCCGAGGGAGAAGCAATAATTATTGGATTAATTCAGGCAACTGAGTCAAGCCAGAAAAAGACACTGTCCAAAAACTCTCAGGAAAGGTGTTCAGTCTTCTATATAAAACGCTGGGCCGCCCCCCAGCTTGCTCTAGGGTTACCCCAAAGACCTGTAGTCCGTTCAGGAAAATACACACATCTCTTGCACAAGCCTACCTAGAGAGAGTGGCTCGCCAGGGGCCCACAGCTTCTCTGGTTGGACCACGGCCAATGCTTGGTCAGACAGACATCAAGCCAGACAATCAGACAGAAGGGGACTGGATTCCTGATTCTCCTAGTCATGCAGGAGCCCTGGGTCATTGGGGGACCTTCCCTGCTCTTCTCTGCCTGCCCCAAACCCATGGGGTGCCCTTGCCCCTGAGTTTCCAAATGCTACCGCCAGCTCAAATGAAAACCAATCCAGGGGACTCACCTGTGGCTTACAGATGTCCGCTCATGGCTTTGCTTACCAAGACCATCTGGAGGGAAAGATTGGGAGTTTGGGGTTAGCAGATGCAAACCAGTAGATATAGGATGGATCAACAACAAGGCCCTACTGTAGAGCACAGGAAACTTTTCAACATCCTGGGATAAACCATCATAGAAAAGAATACGAAAAAGAATGTATGTATATGTATAACTGAATCCCTTTGCTGTGCAGCAGAAATTAACACACGATTGCAAATCAACTCTACGTCAATAACATTAAAAAAAAATTTTGTTCCTAACCTTCCATCCAAACTCCCCCGTCGTGGTTTCTGCATCTTTCAAGTCTCCGCCCACAGGGTGGCTACCCTCTAGCACCTTTGACAGACAGTATCCATTAACAACCAGCACATGTGTGTGTGTGCGCATGGGCACGCAGACACACACACACCCCCACACACGCCCACACACACACCCACACACACACACCCAGAGCTTCCTGACACAGCACTGATGCTTCCTGCAGGTGGCGCCGTCTGCTGTTACAATCCACCGGGTTTTTAACAATTCCCATCGCATCCACCCAAATCCATCTCAGACCCTTCTCACTGGTCGTGACCTGCAGTCTGAAAAACAGTGCACCAAAGCCAGGATGAAGGTGTGTCGATTCATCCACGATTTCTTTCTAAAGTTCAAGTTCCCCTGTAGGGACAGTCTGGCCTGGATTTTCAGGTTGCTTTATACACTCAGTAGCAAGGAAAGGTTTTAGACAAATGTACACACGTCGGGAAAAAAAGGAAGCCCTGATGGCTAAGAGTGGACCAATCATTGTCCGGAGGCCTGCGGTTCAGCCACTGTACCTAGGAAGAGGTTTTAGCAGCTCCTGAAATTTGATCTCAGAACCAACCATGTATCCGATTCCAAAACAATTCACTCCAGGAAGATCACAGGCACTGAAAGTTGTGTTCCTGCAGGACTTGGAAGAGGAGAACCCATGGCAGGAGTAAATAGAAATAAGGCAACAAGGACAAGGACAATTCTGCGAGTGGAAGGAGAACGGACAGGAGCTCCGTGTGAGAGCAGCTTTCAGATAAAGCCACGAGTGCGGGGAACAGGGGCTGAGAACAAAAGTTAAGTAACCCACGGGCTTCCCTGGTGGCGCAGTGGTTGAGAGTCCGCCTGCCGATGCAGGGGACGCGGGTTCGTGCCCCGGTCCGGGAGGATCCCACATGCCGCGGAGCGGCTGCGCCCGTGAGCCATGGCCGCTGAGCCTGTGCGTCCGGAGCCTGTGCTCCGCAATGGGAGAGGCCACAGCAGTGAGAGGCCCGCGTACCGCAAAAAAAAAAAAAAAAAAAGTTAAGTAACCCAGACGAGGGTGCGAAGGGCAGGCTGGCTCTGAGGGTGCGCAGAGCCTGGACACAGTATGAGTTTTACGGTGCTGGGCGAGGGCATGCTTCTCGACAGAGTGACTCTTCTCTCGCCATCCACAGGACTAGCTTCCATGTCAAGGCTCCTCCGGGAATCCAATTAAGTTAAACACACACACACACAAGATGTTAACAGATGGCGACCAACCAGAACGCACCAAAGCTTACGAGAGCAATGTGGAAAATGCTCCCTGAACTGAGTTCATTTTCTCACAGTCAACATCCAAGTCCATTTGGTGAGCAAAGAATGGTGACATGTGTCCTCAGACACCTCCTATGCCTTCACACCAGAGCGGCTCTGGCTCTGGGCATCGGAGAGGTTCTGCTGACAAAGTTAAGTTTAACGAAGAATGTCAGAGATAGGCTCCCCTCCCTAGCGGACCCCCAAGAAACAGGAACTCCGTGTGCGAGTGAGGTGGGAGTACTGGAAGCGGGGACAGAGAGTCCATTGCCCTTCTTGTTTTGGCCCGGGAACAGCTTGAGGCTGGGAAGGCAGATGCCTTCAGAATTAGAAGCTGCCGCCCTGCAAAAAGATGCACAGTATTGCTGCTCATCAGGTACTTCCTGGGGGATACCAGCAGTTCGCTGTGTGTGTGCAGACACGAGGCATCCCCCCCCACCCCGCCAGGTGACCTTGAGAAGCCCCCTGACTGCAAATCCTGCTGGGCTGGGTCACCTCACCTGCAAGGACATTCCTTCAGCCCCTACTCCTTTCACAGACCGCAGACCCGTCCTGGCTGCCTGGAGCCGGGGATGTGGCCTCCTTCTTCGGCCCCAGCGTGGGTGGGTACCCTCCGTTCTTCTTATGCCGCACCGCGGGGAGGGCACAGTCCCCGGGACGGGCTGCAAGAAGGGGTCCAGGGCCACTCTGGAATCCACTCCTGATTCTTTCCTGCGCTGTGCCCACGCCGGACCAGAGCATCGCCTCACGATCACCGTGCACGTCCTGCCCGCACCCTCGCTCGGCTGCCGTCAGAGGGGATGCTGTTTCCGGTGGGGTCAGGCCCTGCGTCCTGTGTGCAGGCTCTGCGGGTCACCTGGAGTGAGTACAGGAAAAGCGCCCCTGGCCGCCCCCCCCCCCCCGGGGCACCCGGGACCCAGGGAGGGCGGCCTCCCCTGCAGATGCGTTCCTCCCGTTCACAGCCCCCCACCCTGCACACATGAGGCCTTCTGACCACCCAGCCCCTGGCGTTGGGGGCCTCACGTGGTGGAGACTGGAATCGGAGCTCTTGGGTCCTGAACACCCTATCCTCTGGGACACCGGTGGCTCTGTTTTTCTCATATCCCGAAGTTCTCGTCTAGGCCCTGGTACCCCTGTCCTGCACCGCGTCCCTGAAGTGCTGGGCTGGGGGGATTCTACCTCCTTTCCCTGTCCCTGCCGGAAGGGCCAGCGGGCATCAGCCCTAAGCGCAGCCCAGCCCGCAGGAAAGGGGTGTGTGTGTGTGTGTGTGTGTGTGTGTGTGTGTGTGAGTGTGTAGGCGGTGGGGGACAAGGTCTGGTTTGTCATCCACAAGGCCCAGCCCAGGAGGGTGGGAGACGCACGTATGGGAAGGTGGCGCGGGCGTGCGAGGCTTCTCGTCCGTCAGGGCACAAGCCCGCCTCCCCATTCCGGGAGGCCCCGGGCTCTTCATCCATTTCCCCCAGAACGGGGCGCCCCCTTACGTAAGGGCACTCCGGTCTGAACCTGCCCCCTGTCTCTGCCCCATCACGTCTGCACCCCGTCCTCCCCGAGTTGGATGCAACCCGCAGCTCCTCCCGAGTCCAGCCAGCCAGCCGCGCTCCGGGAGAGAGGGGGCAGGAAGGGGCTGCCCGTCTCCGCCGTTGCCTCTTGCCCGCCTTCCCCGGTCCTCCGTAATTACAGCTCAGCGCCCCGGCCGCGGGCTGAGGGGCGGGCGTCCGGGAAACGGGGAGCGAGGGGGGCGCGCGGACGGGGAGCGGGCGGACCGCCGAGGCTGAGACGGAGCGAGAGGGCCGGGGCGCCGGGGCGGGAGGGGCGCGCGCGGGCCGCGGGTGGGGACGCGGCTCCCCCCCCCGCCGCGCCGCAGCCCCTCCCCGCGCGCGGCCCCGCGCCTCCCCGCCGCGCCCCCGCCGCCCAGCAGCCCCGCGCCCCACGCCGCCCGCGGACGGCCGCGCGCCGCGCCCCGCGGGGCCGGGCTTCCACCTGTCCCCGCGCGCCCGCCTTCTCGCCGCCGCCCAAGTTTGCGGGGACCTGCCGGGCGCGCCGCCTCGCCGCCTCCGTCCGCGTCCGCGTCCTCGCCCATGGCCGCCGCGCCCCCCGCGCCGCCCGCCCAGCCCCGCGGCCGCCGGGCCCGGTGAGCGCAGGAGCGCGGGCCCCGGAGCGGCGCCGGGCGGTCGGACCCCGCGCGCAGCCGCCCCGAGCAGCCGCGGCCGAGCGGCGGTCGCCCGTCCCCGGCACGGAGCACTGCGGATGAGGCGCGGGGCCGGCGCGGGGCTCCGGGCGCGCTCGGGGGTCGTGAGCGCCGCGCCCCGCGCCCCGCGCGCCCCGCCGGGGCCATGCAGTCGCTCATCTCGCCGGTGACCAAGGCGATCCTGGTGGCCCTCTTCATCTTCGCCATCCTGCTCATCCTGTACGTGATCCTCTGGTACATCTGCCGCGATGTGGACTGCGACCACGGCATCTGAGCGCCGCGGCCCCCGGGGCCCGCCGCGCTGAGGGCGCCCCCGCGGCCCGGGCATGGGGGCGGGGCGGCCCGCCGGCGCCCCCCGCCCCGGGCCCCGCCGCGCGCCCGCCGCAGCCACCTGGCCTTGACCTTCAGGGACGGAGCGGGCAGAGCGGGTGAGTGAACTCCGGCGGCCGCCCTGCGGGGCGAGGCGGGGGCGAGCCGCAACTTCGCGGCGGGCGCGGGGTTTCGGCGCGGGACCGGCCCCGGGTGGGCGCCGCGCCCCGGCCTCGCCACCCGGGGGGGAGGCGGCGGCGGGAGGGCGTGCGGAGGGCCGGGCGCCCCCCGATCCAGCCCGGCGCCTTGGGTCCGAGGAGCCGGGCGCTCCCGCCTTGGGTCGCCACCTGCGCAGCGGCCCGGGGCGGAGCGGGACCGAGCTGCCGGGCGCCCGGTTGGTACCGCGCGCTGCCGGGTCCCCAGCCGTCGGCCCGCGGGCGCGGGGACCCCGCGCGGAGGACCCCGGGCAGCCCCGCCGGGCCGTGCGGAGAGAGCGCGGCGCGGGGGGGCCGAGCGCCATCCACCGCAAAGGGACACCTCCCGCCAGCAGTGGAAAACGGGTCGAAAGCCCGGGGCGCCCTCCTCACGCCCCAGGCACCCCCGAGGGGCGCAGACCCGCCGGGAGGGGAATTCCTCCCCGGTGCCCTAGCCCCCTACCCCAGAGGAGAGGGAAAGTGGGAAAGCTTTGCCCTCCGCCAGGTGTGCCGAGCAAGTTTGCGACTTAAATAAATATCTTGTTATCCACAAAAAAATACCTCTCTCTGAACGTCTCTGTGCAGAAGGAACGCGTGAGGAAAAACACCCATCTTAGACAGGCTGCCAGTTTATGCACCTTCAGATGGCTAGGCCGTCTTCCTGGGGTAATCAGGGCAGAGGGGGATGTCTGGGTCCCAGCGGTCATGTGGGAGCCGCCCCAGCTCTCAGCAGCCCTGCTTTGTGCAATTCATGTTAGTGCATTCCTCTCCCACTAACCGTTTCCAGCCCCTGGAGGGTTAAGGAAACTGAAAGCGCAGACACTCCTCGTCCCCAGGAATCTTTGGAAAACCCAAGGGGAGCGAGCCTGTCTGATGTGGGGCGATCAGGGTTTGTGCGTGTTGCGTGGGTTTTCTCCTGCGGTTAAAATTGGTGCGGAGTCGGTGAGTGGTCCTGCAGCCTCCAGCGCACGTCTCCAAGATCCAGTGTCTGAGGACCTGGAGGGCGGGGAGGGGAGACCCATTTTCAAGATGACAAACGCTGTTTGAGGGAATAGAGATCCGAGGACACCCCCCAGACAATGCCCCGAATGCAAATGCATTCTGAAGGCGTTCTCTGGAGCTGGCTGGGGAAACGCTCTCCTGTCACATGCATCTCTGGAGGGCCTGCCCCAGCTCCGGAGACCGGTCCCCTTCCCCTGTCCACCGCCCCCACCGACCCCAACCCCCATCTCAAGAGCTAGAGCCTAAGATTTGCTCAGCTGGGTTCGAAGCAGACCAGGCAAATACTTCTGATAAATTTCTGAAGCGCCGCGCCTTAGGTATCAGGTGAATTAGCTGAGCGAAAGGAGGTTAAAAGATTCGTGATCACATCCCCAAATATGATGCCTTGAAAACTGTCCCCCCTCCACCAGAGAAAGTACCTCACAAGTCTGCATCCCACGCACGGCACGTGAATTAGGATCCAGAATTACAACAAACACACACACTGCGGGAGAGTGGATTAGGAAAGGGGAAGCCACCAATAGGAGGTGCCTGAGTCTCCGGTGAGCCTGGGGGAGGACATTGTGATTGGGGGTTGGTCACTAGTGGGGCCCATCTGGCAGGGGTAGGAAAACACCTTTACAAGGAAAAGAGCCCAGCATTACATAACTGAGACCATCCAGGGTGTTTTCCTGTGGCCGGAGGGTCGGTCCCCCACAGCTGATGGTGCTGGCCACACACACACACACACACACACACACACACACGGGAGCGGGACCCCATTCCCATCCGGTGACGTGTCAGGTCGGTACATGCTGGGCCTCCCTTGGGTTATTTTCCCCACACGCCATTTCAATCCCGACAGATCAGCATTGATTCCATTTCCCAGAGAATATGCCTTCCCATCAATTAGAAACCAGCCATCTGCATATTATTTCTATGACCCATGAAATGCGTCTCCTTCGTAATCATTGCCGTCTCTGCGGAGAGGGTCATCGCAAAATCAGGACAAAAACACAGGGTCCCCGAATTCAAATTGCCAGGCGTGTGTGAAGTCGGCTGCTCTTAATGAATCCGTGAGTTAATGCTCTTGCTGTGACACAGTAACGCTCACAGTGTAGACACTCGCCCCCTCCCACCCCGACATAGACCAGGGTAGAACCACGACCCTTTTAGACAAAATGAAATCACGGTCCCTCACGTTCACAGTAGCCTCTGTGATCTACAAAAGACCTTCCCAAATGGTCTTCTGGATCGACGCCAGTATTCCCATTTCAGGTACAAACCAAGGTAGTTTCTTGCCCAAGGTCATGGAGCCAGAAGTGCAGAGGCGTCACTGGTAAAGGACAGAGTCATGCTCGGGGAGCTTCCGGCCGGAGAGGGGCCGCTCGGGAGACCTTCCTCTGCTTCTGTGAAAGGAGCGCCCTGTTCCCTCTTATGTCCATGACTGCATGTTTCCACCCATCACCTCTCCAAGGGAGCCCCGAGATCCTGGGGACCCTGTGGGTGTTTACTGTCTAAAAAGAGACCGCTCATCTGCCTGAAGACAGCAGCCTCCACCAAGAATCATTCTCTGGGGCCCAGAAAGATCACTCCTGAATCCGGGGGTGGGGGGGTGGTGAGGCTGATCTCAAAAGGCTGGAAAGAGTGTGACAAGGTAGAAATATCTGTCCTGTCACCTTCTGAATTTTCTACGGACAAGCAACAAATCCAGAGTGCCTGCCGAAAGGAAAAAACAAAATGTGGCTTCCTATAAATAACAATTACATCTCATACTTACGGAGTGTGTTACAAAGTACCAGACAGAGTTAAAGGGATATTGTTTACATCGCATTTTATCCTTCTGACAGCAACGCGAGTCTAATGATTATTCCAATTATACAGAACAGAAAAAAAGAGGCTAAAAGAAAAAGATTATGTAATTTTCCTAAGATCGCAAGGAAAAAAAAAATCAGTCACCAAGAGTCTCCAAGCTCTTAGCACGGACCTGCCTGCGCGCTCACGTGTATCTGTAAATAAAAGCGCACCTCCATGGCGGTCCCATTCCAAAAATTTTTAATTGTGCTTCTCTCTTCACCTCTCCCTTAGGGCTTAGGAATCATATTCTTCTTTTAAGTTGTTTTTGATAAATTACAAAATAACTGCTTAATGTATATTTACAGGCATTGAGCACATAGGTTTCCATTTTAAAAAAGCTTTTGACTTATTT